CAACGTAATTGAGAGTGTCGGTATCATAATGGTGTTTGTGGATGTGAGACACATGGAGGTGCTGCAGTGATCAGTGACTGACAATAAGACCTGGTGGCAAAGTTCAAAGATACTTCTTTGCTTTATGAAACGTGTCATCGCTGACTATGTTCCTTTCCTTTTAAACGGATCCATTCATAGAGATTTCACAACGTACGAGAGCACGTGAATGCATCACCACCAGCGCCGAAAACCTGGCATAGAAAAGAGCTTGTGAGCGATATTATATATATAGATATAAAGATAAGAAAGCAGCGGCTGAACGAAAGCAAAGGAAAGTTGGGAAGATAATTGGACTTTCCTCTGTATGTGGATTAGAGGTGGTAGTCGAGCAGGATTTGGAGCACATGGTAACTATGGTAGCGCTTCCTGTCCCCTGTCTGTTGTTTAAACCCTCCCCGGCCCGCTCAGCTTAGCCGGATTGTCTTTCTTTGCTCCACAGTGTCTGAGGACACTAAAACCAAGCAGATGCCTTTCAGCTCCCGCAGAGGAGACAGGACTTGTTTTGCTGCCAAACAATTTCAGGATGGCTTGAGTTGCACGTTTGTGTCTTATGTTCTTAAGAAAAAACTGAAGGTCTGGTTTGATTCATCAAAATGTGTTTGCATCTGGTTTCTGAAGACATGATGGTCTTTGTATCATGCAGGACCAGGACCTGCAGGACCAGGACCAGAGCTCACCGACACACTGATCAGGTCAGTGCAAAGTTATGCTTAAAATGGAGAAATGTTCACAAAATCCAAGAGGTGTCCCTCTACTTCGGAGACACCATGAGACAGGACGGCCTTCACGCTCTGGCTGTCCTCCTGACCAATGAGAAGCTCATTGATCTACTCGCAGCAAAAGGCCTCATTCAATGCTCATCTTAGATACATACACACACATGGACGTGTCCATTATACGCTCCTATAGAACGTGTGAGGAAGACCTCAGAGGACCACGAGTCATCATCATCATCGTCGTCATCAGAGGGGAGGTGTGTGTCTGTGTGCAGATTGTGCTCCCTGCTGTGTGTTTGAAGGGTTACCTGCATTCATCGTGTTACTCTTGACTGGCAGCTACTTGAGAAGCGTGTGCGTGTTGAACAAGGAGGACGGACGGACCGTGTGATGGTCACAGACACAGACAGCGGGGGGTCATCAGGGATCCGTGTCTCCTGGGACACACCACAGGGGGCACGACTGTTCCGTGCGATCCCGCAGCCTGTAATGGATGTCAATGTGAGTGTGGGATGTGAGCTGGTGATCAGAGAGGAAATCGGTTTGGATCCCTGACGATAATTTGGGGAAAAGACCACGACCTTCACGCCGCATAGTGCCGCCTGCATCAGATCAGTCCGCCGCCTTCAAGTCACTTCATTCTCTACAGCAGGAAACCACAAACCACCAGTCGGGAAGTGAAATAACCCTCTCAACACCATTTCTACCTTTTTGTGTGATTTGTTGGTATAAAATGTGATGCGTTTCTAAATAAACCGGTATTAAAATCTGGAGTTGAGTTTTGAGGACAGAAGATAGGATTAGGGATTAAGGACTTTGTGTTCGTAGGTCTCAGGTGAGACTTTACATCATGTTTTGATGTAAATAGGGGATGCATCCGTACTGTGGTTCACACAGGTGATAATTACTCTGTGTCCTCCGGGCTGAATAATACTCTTAGTATTAAACCGATAAGAACTCTGATTATCATCTTACACCGAACAGAACAAACGTAAGAAGCTAAAACAATATTCTACAAACTTGATCAGACACTAATCTGTATCCATGACAACCTAAACTAAGAAACCCGTAATGCTTTTCCGTGTTTTTAAATCTCGTCCTTTAAGTTTCCTCCCGCTTCTAACGGCGCACTTCCGGTTTGCTTACCTTCAAAATAAAAGCGCAACAGGAAATGCAAAACAAAATACCTAAAAAAAAGACATTAAAAAACTAACAATCGACTGAAATCCCCTGTTGGGGCAGCAAGGTGCTCCTTGCAGAGCGGCCGCTCACCTGTTCTGCATGCGTAGGCGATGGTCTCCACGGTCCAGTGGCAGATAGTTGGTCCTCCAGGTGACACCAGAGCCATCCGGGTTCCGTCACCGCTACACGTCATCCACCTGCAATGGGGAATATGAGGACCATGTGATATGGTCACAGGTTCCAGAGTCGGTTTCTTCTTGCTAGCCGGGCACCTTTGACGCAACTATAAGCCATCTGCTCTATCGTAGAATGATCCCATGAAAATCAGTCTTCACATGATTTTTAACTTTTATATGTAGCTTAAATTCCTCTTGCACTGTGTTGTCTCATCTGTCTTGTTGTCCGTTGTCTGTCTGCTGTCACGCAAGTCAAATTCCTTGTATGTCTGACATATTTTGGTAATAAATGTTCCCGATTCCTGACTGCAGAATCAATGTTTTTGTGTGGAACAAACTTAACACACTTAATATACTATGTGCATTTTCTTAAATGTAATGTGTTTACCTCTGGTATTTTATTGTATTGTATATATTGAGTATTTTTAATTTTTCATACTGAATATTTGTATGTTTACTCAGTAACTCCAACTAATTTCCCCCTGGGGAGTATAACTAAAGAATGAACAATGTAAAAGATGTACAATGCATTAAATTCCTATAAAGTATCTCTCTGTCTATCCACAGGACAGCACACCTGAAAAATGGACTGCCCACGTTATACTGCTCTTACCCGGGAGTATGTAATATAATATGCAATATATATGTAATATAATATATATGTAATATAACATGCAATATATATGTAATATAATATACAATATAATATGTAATATATGTGTAATATAATATACAATACAATATGTAATATATATGTAATATAATATACAATATACAATATAATATGTAATAGATATGTAATATAATATGTAATATATATGTAATATAATATACAATACAATATGTAATAGATATGTAATATAATATACAATACAATATGTAATATATATGTAATATAATATACAATATAATATGTAATATATATGTAATATAATATATAATATGTAATAGATATGTAATATAATATGCAATAGATATGTAATATAATCTATAATATATATGTAATATAATATTTAATATAATATGCACTATAATATGTAATATATGTTTCCATATATGTAATATAATATGTAATATAATGACATTATGGAATGTAACTGTGACTTAGTGAAGTAAATATAGACTGCAAAAATGACACTGAATTAAATCCCAATGAAAGACATTTCATAATATTGAGTTGATATATTTGACAGTTTTTTCATACCTCTATTTAATAATGTATGAAATCTATTTAATATAGATACGTCTTGTAATGGTAATGATACATGTTATTAATAGTATTATTATTATTACTCAACGCCATGTTTCCTGAGTCCACAGGGACCAAAAGCTCGGCTGTGAATCTATAAATGAGTGTTTCTAACATACATTGATCTCGATCAATAATCTTCTTCCTGATGTATGAACAAGAAACAAATCAGTCAACACACAGACGCAATGATGCTTCTGCCACTTTAATGTCCAAACTGGTGACTGTTATAAGACAAAAGAGGAGTATAACTTTCATAATATTGCACGTTCCTGACACTGTATCTACCACGTGTTTATATGTGTCAACACTGCTACACGGTGAGAATATAACTTCAAGACAAGCGCTGATCAATCAGCTATTTATTCCTTTATTTTAAGGTTTTTACATGGCAGAAAAAATAACAGATTTTTTTATCACTATAGTATTTACACATGATTCTAAAGTTATATATTTTATATCTGTAAAATACACTGTATATTGATACTAACAATATATCAATACGACTTTTATTCATAACATTTGAGTAGTTTAAGATTACAGTTCTAACAATCATTTTAATCATCTCACTCTCAATGTCAATCAGCAACCGTTGGACCGGGTAAACGTTACAGCCGTCAAACGAAATAGAGAGCAGCTCTTCAGTGAAAGGAGGTGCTGGTCCACCGAGAAGGTCTGATCTTCTCCTGCAATCATCAGACGCTGGAAACGCCTCTCAGAAACCTTCAGGCTCATTACTGTTACACACACGAGCTACTGCAGCTGTAATGTTGCTGCTGACTCATCATCCACCGGCCCTCCACCCGACATCCACCCGACATCCACCCGACATCCACCCCACATCCACCCGACATCCACCCCACATCCACCGGCCCTCCACCCAACATCCACCCGACATCCACCCGACATCCACCGGCCCTCCACCCGACATCCACCCGACATCCACCCGACATCCACCAGCCCTCCACCCGACATCCACCCGACATCCACCCCACATCCACCCGACATCCACCCCACATCCACCCCACATCCACCCGACATCCACCCGACATCCACCCCACATCCACCCGACATCCACCCCACATCACCCCACATCCACCCGACATCCACCCCACATCCACCCCACATCCACCCGACATCCACCCCACATCCACCCGACATCCACCCCACATCCACCCCACATCCACCCCACATCCACCCGACATCCACCGGCCCTCCACCCGACATCCACCCGACATCCACCCCACATCCACCGGCCCTCCATCCGACATCCACCCCACATCCACCCGACATCCACCCGACATCCACCGGCCCTCCACCCCACATCCACCCGACATCCACCCAACATCCACCCAAGATCAACCGGCCCTCCACCCGACATCCACCGGCGCTCCACCTCCATCAATAATTCAATTCCACCTGTTTGGGCTATAATTATTAATTATGTATGATTATTTAATTTCAGCCTTTCTTGCAGGATTAAAGTAACCAGGCCGGTAAAGTGACGACACACCGAAGCTTCACAGTCAGGATCAGAAGTTTCCTCCTCTGTAGAAGAGGTCAGTATGTTTAATATGTTCATAATATAAACTATAATATGCAGCCAGTTTGAAGAAAGAGCCAAACCACACACGCTGACTCATGAATCATTATTTATTATACCACGGCAGGTATCGTCGACTACTCACTAGCTGCTGCTAAACTTCTGTGTCGTATCGGGACTTTGATTAGTTGTCAGGCAGCTTGCAGCCAAATCAGATGTGAGAATGAAGAAAGGTTGGACCATCAAGTCAGATTCCAGCAGGCAGATTACAGATTACTGATGCCGGTGGGTTTCTGCCCACACTCGGACTCTTCTTACCACCGTAAGACTCTGTGACGGGACATCGGCTGCACGTCTGAGCGTGATGGCACGAAGAGAGGGCGGCGTTTGATTCGTCACCACTATTTGAATGACATCGATCATACTCTTCAAGACAGAAATGGCAGAATGGGAAAAATAAAATGCGGTGCCGTTTATCCAGGCCGGGTGTTTAGTCCACAGCAGCTGTGGCAGGAGGCCGTCAGCAGCTCGGGTCGAGGGTTCTAGTCGGCGTAGATGATGAACCCGGAGAAGGTGCTGTACTTGTTGTTGTTGCCTCCATGAGCTTTGCCTCCGTCCAGTTTGATGTAGACCTCGTCTCCCGGCTCCAGGTGCAGCACGCCGCTGTTACTGGCGTAGTCGTAGTTCTGGTCCGCGTCCTGAGCTATGGCACTGGCACGCACCTGAGGAAGACACACACACACACACACACACACACACGCACACGCACATAAAGACACACGTGACTTTATTTAAGGCACTGCGCTACTTGCAAGTCGCTGTGTTGTGGCAGATTCTCCATAAAGGTAGAAAACAACAAACTCATGGTCATGAAGGTCCTCATGTAACGTTACATGGAATCTGCATGAGGAGGAGGAGGAGGGTCCATGTCGCTAAACACCAACTGAGATCGGCTTGTGGCTTCTGACAAAGGATCCTTCCACCGACCACTTTTCACACCCGCCGTCGCTCTGCAGGCGCATGGCGGAGAAAACCAATCGGGTGTCTGGATGCTAAATGTTCATACTTCTCATCCGACCACAATCACATTCACTGCATCCGGGTGGAAACATTTATCTGGATGGGAGGTTTTTTATCTACAACAAGCCGGAAGTAACACGGCTAGGGAGTAGAAGTAAAAAGTCCTCTGAAAAATAAATACTGCAGTAAAGTATAGATACCCAACATTTCTACTAAAGTACAGTAACGAAGTATTTGTACTTGGTTACTTGACACCTCTGTTCCTCAAAGTGCATTGACCCTTGAACAGTGTCTGATGAGGGAAGTGAACTGGATGCATTGTGTATAACGGGGTTAGTTCTCCACACCGAGCTCCATTCAGACGTCACGACTCGAGTGCATTCAATCCACCAAGTCTGGAGACACAATACAACATCTGCAGGCCTCCTGAAGACACTTCTTATAGACAATTTCAACCTGATGACCTGCTGGTTGTCGACACACTCCCAGGCACCTTCCCACAGTCCCTGTTGGAGCCATATTTGTATTATTATTAGATGTGTTTGAGTTGTGTAGACTCCCCTGCCGTATGAACGTAAGTTTCTTCATGGTTCATGAGATCCACCTGATGACCACGAGGTGGTGGTTCCTTTGTGGCGGTCTTTGACCTCACGTTATCCACTTTAAAACTCGTTTACAACAATTACATTTCGGGTGAAACAAATAGTTCTGAGTAAAGAAGTAAAGAGAAAGCAAGAGATTACTGATTTGGAACGAAACACCAAAGCAGGCCGACGCACGGAAACGATGACAAACTATCGACCGATATCTAAAGTACAATGATAAGAAAAGGAGTTTTTTCTAAGCGGTAATCGACTTCTTGGCTGTAAATAACTGTTCAGGTCGGGCAAAGACAGTGACACAACGAGTCCCATTACTCTTACTGGATCAAAGACTGGATGTGTCAAAATGTCCTACAACAAAACTGAGCTCATTGTATTTGGTGCTAAAAAAGAAAGGTTTAAAGTAACCCAACACCTTCACTCTCTGTCCCTGAAAACATCAAATAAAGCCAGAAATCTGGGGGTTATTATGGATTCAGATTTACACTTGGAGAGTCACATCAAATCAGTAACAAAATCGGCCTACTGCCACCTCAAAAACATCGCACGACTTAGAGGGCTCATGTCAGCTCAAGACTTAGAAACACTTGTACATGCCTTTATAACTAGTAGGCTGGACTATTGTAATGGTCTCCTTGCAGGTCTCCCAAAAAAAAACTGTCCAGCTTGTTCAGAACGCTGCTACTAGAGTTCTAACAAAGACTAAAAATGTGAGCACATTACACCAATTCTTAAATCCCTACATTGGCTCCCAGTATGTCAGAGAATTCATTTCAAAATCCTACTGCTCACATATAAATCACTACATGGTTTAGGGCCAAAGTATATCACTGATATGCTTCCACTACATAAGCCTTCAAGATCACTAAGATCTTCTGACACCAATCTGTTAGTGATTCCCAGAGTAAATACAAATCATGGGAAAGCATCATTTAGTTACTACGCAACAAACAGCTGGAATAAACTTCCTGAAGATTTAAGACTTGCCCCAACTCTGACACGTTTAACCTCTGCCTTTAATTAAACAATTTAAATGAGATTTTAATTTATACATTTATTTGCTGTTTTTAATTGTCTTATAATTCCTGCATTTTATTTCACTTTATTGTATGAAATGTTAAATGAGTATTATTTTAAATAATGGAATAAGCCTGGGACAATGCTACATCTGCTACATGTCTGGTATCAGCTGGTATGAAACTACTGACATCAATGTCTTTTTAATGTCAATACACATTATTCCTGAATAGTAATCTGGGCGGGCGTCACCCCGCGGTCGGGTAACAAGGTAAAGTGACGCACAGCGAAAACAACGCAGGAATCAGAGCAAACGTTACATGTTGAGAGAAATCAGAGCTGCTCTTCTAATAATGATGTCAGTAAAATGAACAATAACTATTACCGACATTTGTGTGTGTGTGTGTGTGTGTGTGTGTGTGTGTGTGTGTGTGTGTGTGTGTGTGTGTGTGTGTGTGCTCGGCGAAGGACCAGCAGGACGTTGTTACTGAATTGTAATAATAATAAATACATCTTTTCCAAACATGAATTATTGAATATTTCCCTCCGAGTGGGCTCGGCTGCTTAGCTACACGTCTGTATATGTAGTTATTGACATGTTATATATGAGTATTAGACCTGTCAGTATAATCCAGGTACTGCGCCTCTTCATCGTCTCCTACCGGCTGTGATTGAAGCGCCAACAATCGGCCACGTTCAGCGGGACCTTTTCCAGCCCCGTCGTGCAGGGACACAGTCCTGTGCAGACGGGGATTGAGCTGGAAGTAGCCTAGCAGCTAGCTTAGCATAGCAGTGCTTAGACTGGTTGCCACTCAGCCCCCTTCTGCGTGACACGTGCAGTAATTCTGCCTCTTGTTCGTTTTACTTCCTCCATCTTCAGCTTTCGTTCTGACTGACAGCCGCCAGCAGGGTTTGTTTCAGGGCTCAACTTTGATTAACAAAGTCAAAATATTTCATCACATTGATCTCGACCACATTAATCGCATAGAGAACGCGTTCATTTTGACAGCTCTAATATATATATATATATATATATATATATATATATACAGTATGTATATATATATATATATATATATATATGTCTGACACGTAGAGAAAGGAACTATGTGAGGACACGTATTGAGAGTATATATATTCTCAATACGTGTCGCATAATATACGCATATATTCTTATAGAATAAATATATATATATATATAAATGTAGATAAAATGCTTGTAATTCTGCCACAACAGACCTTGTTTTCTTGCAGTGTGATTTCAGCAACATCCCAGACAGTAGAGAAGAATTTTAGCGCTTTTTTGTGTCCTGCACAAGAAGAGCTTGATCGTGGCATCAAACCATTATTTCTTGAACAATGTGAACGATTATTTAATATTTCCATCCTTTTAGATCTCCCTACTATCGTTCTGTCATGTGACCAACACCCAGTGGTTCCCAGTGGTGCCCAGTGGTTCCCAGTGGTGCCCAGTGGTGCCCAGTGGTTCCCAGTGGTTCCCTGTGGTTCCCAGTGGTGCCCAGTGGTGCCCAGTGGTTCCCAGTGGTTCCCTGTGGTTCCCTGTGGTTCCCAGTGGTGCCCAGTGGTGCCCTGTGGTTCCCAGTGGTGCCCAGTGGTGCCCAGTGGTTCCCTGTGGTGCCCAGTGGTTCCCAGTGGTTCCCAGTGGTTCCCAGTGGTGCCCTGTGGTTCCCAGTGGTGCCCAGTGGTGCCCAGTGGTTCCCAGTGGTTCCCAGTGGTTCCCTGTGGTTCCCAGTGGTGCCCAGTGGTGCCCTGTGGTTCCCAGTGGTGCCCAGTGGTGCCCAGTGGTTCCCAGTGGTTCCCAGTGGTGCCCAGTGGTTCCCAGTGGTGCCCAGTGGTTCCCAGTGGTTCCCAGAGGCCTCTGAGGCGTCTGAGATGCGATGTGAGCTGTGGACAGGACGTCCGTGCATCGATGTCTCAGTGCACGTTAACGTGGGCCTTGAAGAACACAAGCTGACGTGTTTCCTCCGACGCTGAACACGAGAAGCGTCTCACACGGTGTGGAGCCACTGAGCAGCTCCGCGTTAAGAAGCACCGCTGTGTGCGTGTTCTCCGTGTTCTCCGTGTTCTCCGTGTTCTCCCACACGCGCGTTTCACGTTGAGTCGAAAAACTTAAAGGAAATCCTTGATCCCTTTCCTCGCCTCCTCAGCCGCTAGTCCCTCATGTCAGACTGAGGTTAGCCGTGACTAAGTCTGAAACAATCTTTGCTTTGGTTTTATAAGGAAGGGAGATCACTGTAATATAATATATAATATACATAATATATAATATATATATATATATATATATATATATATGTATATTATATATTATGAGCTCAATGTGCAATTTGAACTCATTTTGAAGCCGGTTTACTCTGTTGGATTCATATATATTTTATTATTATTATATCCACAGACATCAATAAGGACGTGAAACAATCCGATGGAATTTGTCTTTTCGTGTCGGGGCATCATGACGTGACGCAGTTTGGGTGGAGGTTGATGGAGCGATGACAAACAGAGAATTTAGCAAAATAAGCACCTGGTGCTTTCCTGTTGAATTTCTCTTAAATTAGTTCATAAAGCCTATAATTATTCATTAAAATAGAATGTGATCGGAGAGCAGTAGCTTTTATATTGTATTTTATATTTTATACCTGCAAGGACAATATTACACCAGCAGCCTTGAATAAACTGTTGGATTGACAGAGGTTCCTTCAGACGGGTCATTCATGGAGGATTTACATCAATCTGCATTCATTTGAATAAATAAACAGATCACTGCCTTTTAATTGTTAAAAAATATATATTTCAAGAGGACAATTTAGTAAAAAAAGAAAATACTGCTCTAATGGGGGAAAAGGGATTTGATTAAATGCTCTGTCCCCGGGTCCCCGGGTCCGTGTCCCGGGTCCGGGTCCGGGGTCCGTGTCCCGGGTCCGGGTCCCGGGTCCGGGTCCCGGGTCTAATTGAAACGTGTCTCCGGCTGCATGTGGTCGGTCACGGCGAGCTGCTCCGCTGCTTTAATCCGGACAGGACGGGCTGACAGGCGCGAGGCGTCTGCCTGCTGGAGCGACCCGGGATTAGATGTGAGCTGCTGACAGACCCCCCCCCCCCCATCACCCCCCCCCACCACCCCCCCATCACCCCCCCCCCATCACCCCCCCATCCCCCCCGAGGGAAGAGGAGACAGGAGGCAGCAAAGGGCCTCCGTCCATCCTCACACCTTCACCAGTTAGATTGTAAAGAGGTATTTGGAATAATAATAATATTAATAATAATAATAATAAAAAAATAATATTAATATTAATAATAATAATAATAATGAATAAAGACTGAAGGGAGGTCCCGTTCATTACGACAACAACTCTCACGTGAACTTTGTCCTCGTTAAGTTGAAGGACGTGGTTGGTGAAGCTGTCTCGGCCCAGTAAGACATGTCCCGCGTGGTCCACCGGGCGCCAGGTCACCGTTTCACGCGCACGCGCACGGCGTGCACGGCCAATAGTTGCGCGGAGCGCGAGCGAACGAACGAGCCCTCGTGCGTAAAAGCCCCGCGCGTCTGTTACCTGCTGGTTTTTGCACAGGTCCGCCCACATGCTCGTGCCGTCGCCTCCGCGCATCAGGACGTGGTAGGTGAAGAAATAGATCCCCGGGATGGAGCACGTGAACTTGCCGGTGGTCGGGTCGTAGTGGTTCCCCAGATTGGTCACCACGTCGTCGAACTTGAGCACCTCGTAGCCCTCGTGCTGCTTCTTGAGTCCCGCGTAAAAGGCGATCTTGGGCACGGTGCTGTACGTGGCCGCGCTGATGGCCCCGGCAGCTGAGCTCGGTCCCCGCGGTCCCGGTAAGCCGGGTCTGCCTTTGTCTCCGGGCGGCCCCGCAGGACCGGGCGGCCCCGGTTCGCCGAGAGGACCCCTTGGACCCGCCCTACCCGGACGCCCCGGTACCCCTCTCGGACCTTGGATGAAAGTGGGCAAGGACTGCACGAGGCCGCCGTCTCCGGCCGCGTCCGCCGTGGCGGCGCTGGTCGGAGCCTTGGTGCCGTAGGGGTCGCACACCATCCTGCAGGTACCGAGCATCTCGTAGTGCGCCGCCGAGCCCGCCGAGTTCACCAGGACCGGGATGAGGATCACGAGAAGCAGAACCATGACGACTCCCAGGACCCCTGCTGCGACCAGCCGCTTCCTGCCGACCAGCCGCGTGAGCGCGGGCCGATCCTGGGGTCTTTTGGGTGGAATGGTGCTGGCCGGAGGAGACCCTCGCGCAGAAAGGTGGAGCGCGGCTCCGCTCGGCGGCTTCGGGAAGTTCGGAGCGCAACGGTCTCCTAAAAGTTCTGTGCCGGTCGGCGAAGGACCGGATTCAGCATCACTGAAGTCCAGACGCGGGGTCTGGACCCTCTTCTGATCCACGGGTCCCGAACCAGAGCTCTGTGCTGCAGCTGAATCCTGAAGGTGGATCCGCGAAAGCGTCTGTCCGCTATATATGAGAGAGAGGGGGGGGGAGAGGGGGGAGAGAGGGGGAGAGAGAGAGAGAGAGAGACCTCTAAAATGAAAACACTTCATCATTCACCGGTTCGGACCAGTAGTGAGACAGTGTGATGGTGGGTGATTCGTCTCCTGTATGATACACGCGTGAGTGACAGCGTGTTTGAGGCCTTAACAGCATCTCGATGTCATTTCAAGTCTAGAACGCTTTACATTCTTTTCCTTAATGTCACTAAAGAAGAGTGAGAAGCAGATGAAGCCTGCAGCGAGGAACCTGGTCCTTCATACCGGGTCGGGGGGCGCTGAGGTGACTCTGGGGCCCGTCCTGGATCGGTCGCCTCACAGACTCACTGCCGCACACCGACAATGGACCGAAGCTCCGGAGAACCCAGAGAGAACTTGCACTCCGCAGCTCGTCAGCTGAAGGTCTCCTCATCGCTTGACCTCTTCGGTTTAACCATTACGTTCAGGACTGAGGGGACAAACAGTGATGTGGGCTCATTATTCTAAATGTTTAATAAAATTAAACCAAGAGTCCGTCTGTGTGTTTGGTTCTTTAGTAAAACAAGTATTTACACGACATGTTTCACATGAATCCAGCACATTAAATCTGTCATGACCTCCATAAATGACCATTTAATGTAAATACACGAGTTCTGCTGGTAGGAAGCGAACGTCTCCTTAAAGTGTCTCCCGACACAATACGTGGGAAGGAAACAGCGACGAGTCGACACACACAAAGGACCAAAGGACTTTTATTAAACTGAAATCAAACAATGAACAGATTAATGACGTGTTTTTATCTCTGTGATCAGGATGAATGAAAGTTATAAACAGAGAAACACAATCAGCTTTATTTGCCACATGAATGCTGAAGCACACATGGACAAAGAGATGGTGATATATATACAAATACTAATAACAAAATACAATGTAGTACAATTACAGTACATGATCCTGGGCTTTGTCAAAGGAGATGAAGTGAGCAGCTATTGAACATCCTCACAGTCCTTATCTGCTCCATTCATCTTCTTTTACAAAGCCCAGGATCATGCCCCATGTGACATCCTCTGTCCTGAAAGCCTCTGTGGGGAAAAGGAACCTCAGTGAGAACGTCAGAGGGTCCGTCTCCTGATGGACAGACGACGATGACGTCATGAGGACAGAGTGAACAACGTAGAAGATGAACAACACATTGAGTTCATAAGACAGAGATGATTCAGATAATGTGAGTAGTAAGACACTGCAGGGACCATCAGAACCACCACCACATAGAACCACCCCCACATAGAACCACCCCCACATAGAACCACCACCACATAGAACCAACATCACATAGAACCACCACCACATAGATCCACCACCACATAGAACCACCCCCACATAGATCCACCATCACATAGAACCACCCCCACATAGAACCACCCCCACATAGAACCACCCCCACATAGAACCACCACCACATAGAACCACCACCACATAGAACCACCCCCACATAGATCCACCATCACATAGATCCACCATCACATAGAACCACCCCCACATAGATCCACCATCACATAGAACCACCCCCACATAGATCCACCATCACATAGAACCACCCCCACATAGATCCACCATCACATAGAACCACCCCCACATAGAACCACCCCCACATAGAACCACCCCCACATAGAACCACCACCACATAGAACCACCACCACATAGAACCACCCCCACATAGATCCACCATCACATAGATCCACCATCACATAGAACCACCCCCACATAGATCCACCATCACATAGAACCACCCCCACATAGATCCACCATCACATAGAACCACCCCCACATAGATCCACCATCACATAGAACCACCCCCACATAGAACCACCCCCACATAGAACCACCCCCACATAGAACCACCATCACATAGATCCACCATCACATAGAACCACCCCCACATAGATCCACCATCACATAGAACCACCCCCACATAGAACCACCCCCACATAGAACCACCCCCACATAGAACCACCCCCACATAGATCCACCATCACATAGAACCACCACCACATAGAACCAACATCACATAGAACCAACGTCACATAGAACCACCCCCACATAGAACCACCCCCACGTAGAACCACCACAACATAGAACCACCACAACATAGAACCAACGTCACATAGAACCACCCCCACATAGAACCACCACCACATAGAACCACCATCACATAGATCCACCCCCACATAGAACCACCCCCACATAGAACCACCCCCACGTAGAACCAACATCACATAGAACCACCCCCACGTAGAACCACCACCACATAGAACCACCACCACATAGAACCACCATCACATAGAAACACCACCACATAGATCCACCATCACATAGAACCTCCATCATAGAACCACCGTCACATAGAACCTCCATCATAGAACCACCTTCACATAGAACCTCCATCAGATAGAACCACCGTCAGATAGAACCACTGTCAGATAGAACCACCGTCAGATAGAACCACTGTCAGATAGAACCACCGTCAGATAGAAGGCGAGGGTGAGAAAGCACAAAAGCTCCGGGCAAGAAGCTGAATGAGTGATTAAAGAGAAGTGAATTATTATAGAGTGAGAGAGGAGCTCAACGTTAAAAGGTTTCTTGGTAGTCTAAGCCTGAGCCAGCCTAACTAACTAACTAACTAACTAACTAACCATGAGCGATATCCAGCGAGGTCAAAAGTCTTCACATTCATTAAGTATAGATACTTGGGTTTAAAAAGACTTCTGTACATACTGTCTTTGCACTTTGGATTGTAGTTTTGGTTCTAATTATTATAACGTGTCAAAGCGGACTCTAACAACAGTAATAATACTGACAACAAGCTCAGAGCTCCAACCGGAGACTGCGTCAAGTCTTTGAAACCTTTGGTTGTAACTGTGTCGCTCTTCCTCCTGCAGGCAGCTCTGCGTGCTCGCGCTTTGTGGACTGATGACAAGAGTTCAGCAGAGCCTTGACACCAGCAGGGACGTGCCAGCGGTCCACGGAGCCCCGGCGCCGAACAGTCGTTTGTCTTGTGGATCAGTGAGCCGACGTATTGATGCCGCTAAAATCAAAGCAACGACGGCGCCTCGGCTTCATTACGCCTCCAAATGTCCTCGCAGAGAGAGGCCCTGAGAATGAGCTGTGGAGGTAAGAGAGCATCACTTCATTGGCACTACACTCAATATCGGCACACGGATGATTAATGGGGGGGGGGAGTTATAGAAGCTCAGAGGGGAGTGAAAGTGGGCAAATTGATAGCAAAAGAAATCATGAAAACTTTTATTCACACAGCACTTTTCAGTATTCTCGCGCACGGAGACGTCCTCTACACTGCTCACAAAATGCTATTCTGATCTCTGACAAACAACACCAGGGGGCCTGTCCTCCACACCGAACGTCTGGCGGTGTTTTTCGGGTCATGCAGCGTGAATGCTTTGGTCAGAGTAGGATTCCAACGCGGCGATGCCTCAGAGCTAACGCCGCTAACTACAGGTCACAGGATGACCACGTGTTTGACGGACAGGGAGCCAGAGGGCGGGTGCAACGATCCCTCCACCCTGCCATTGGTTGGCTCGGCGTATGTCAGCAGGGGGGCTCACGTGCACTACCGTACACACTCACATGCACAGAGACCCTAGTTGGCTGCTGCTGTATGAATGGTGCACATTGCTGCTGTGGTGGGTGGGGTGCTCCCTCCTCCGCCTGTGTCACCACCCTCATTAAAGGGGCACCGTGCGCCCCCCTTAGACAACCAAGCCGCCCTCACACACAAGCCACCTATAAATCACCTGGTGAAAATCAATGGGCTTTGGTTAGCTTGGGACTCATTGTGTCCTTGCAAAGGTGTGAGATGAATCGAGATGAAGTCAGAACAAAACAGGAACAACACACACAAAAACAGGAACAACATCCATGAAAACAGGAACAACCTGCACCCAAACAGGAACAACATCCACCCAAATATGCACCCAATCAGGAACAACATCCACCCAAACATGCACCCAAACAGGAACAACATCCACCCAAATATGCACCCAATCAGGAACAACATACACCCAAACATGCACCCAAACAGGAACAACATACACCCAACAACAACAACATCCACGAAAACAGGAACAACATCCACCCAAACAGGAACAACATCCACCCAAACAGGAACAACATGCACCCAAAGGGCCGCTGGAGAAGCAGGACTCTGGTTGGACTGAGCTTCATGGTCGATGACCCGTGTTTATTCTGGAACAAAGCCCAGTGCAGCCACAGAGGGAACTAATCACAGATGTGGTTAAAGCACTAACTGGAGCCCCCGCAGAGACCCCCCACATCTCAGTCCTGTTTCTATAAGTCATAATTAAATATGTGTGTATTTTGACGTTATTCTGCTGTTGTGTCCATTGAGCATGAATACCTCAGGGTGTCGGCTGAGGCCGGAACCTCCTCCCCTGCAAAGCCCCCACCTGACTTCCTGTTCCTGCCCTACGAGGAATCCTCACCCACGTCTTCAGATGGCTGAGGGCTCTTCTGCTGGTTCGTAAAGGCATCGGTGAACAAACCTCGAGTTAAAGATGAAATGATCACACACAAACCTGTAAATCAGCATCACATGGAAAGAAGCTGGACAACCAGAAGAGACACAAACTGCAAAAAGCCTTTATTCCTCTTTTAGTCCCTGAAGTGAATGCATCTCACCTACTGGTGTTTAAATGACATAACAACCCAATTGATGGAATACATGAATAAAGTGTGTGTCCCTCTGAGACAAAGGGCCGTTTGTCCACCTGTACACCCTGAAGACACGTTACATTAGAAAAAGAAGTTATTCAGGTGGAGTTTATGTCACTACTTATATCGTGAAATACAAAACTACTTGTTCCTCCTCACTGAGAGCAAAACACTCGACTAGATCTCCACTCTTTGCTGTCCTGCTCCTAAATGGTGGAAGGAGGTCTCTGAAGACACCAGGACCACAGAGAGCCTTCACATCTTCAGACTAAAGACACACCTCTTCAGACTCTACCTCCACTAAAGACTAACTGTAGCACTTAAGTTGTACTTGTAACGTCACTCATCTATAGCAAATTGCTTAGAGGAAATTGCACGTTCTTGTTTCTTGTTCTCCTGAGTTCCCGTCCGCTAAATGACATGTAATGTGAAATGAACGATAGAGGAGACGACATTTCTCTCATTGTTTTATTAAAACATAGTTTTATTGAAGCGTGAACGGTGCCTGTGATAAAAGCTCTGTGCATTTTAAAGGGTTACGTCAGCTGAAATGTGATGGACACTTGGCAAAGACAATGTGGAGTGAGGCTGCGCGGCAGGAGACACCGTGTGTTTGCAGGAGTACGTACGCTCACAAAGGGTCTTCTGACAAAACATGAACCAACCTGCCGGTTTGTGAAACCGTTAAGGAAGCGAGTGATTGCTGCTGAATCAGCAGAGACGGAGCAGAGATGGAGACGTGCTGCTGGATTCAGATACAGAGCAGTAAGACTGGACTCTAAACATCTGCCTCTGGCGCGGCAGCATTGTGAGGACCCTCATCGGTCATCTGGGCTCGCTGTGAGGAGCATCGCGACCATCTGCGTCTGAATGAGGTTCCACGCGTTTCCAGAGTTACACACATGGCTGGAGTACTAGAGCAACAAAACGAGCAGCACGCGGATGCAAACATGCAGCTCTGCACAGGAACACGCGTCACACATTTCTTTGGAATACAAAATGTTTTTGTTATATAAAACGGAGCGGGGGGGAAGGCACATGCAGTGAAGCAGCTCAGTGAGCAGCTCTCCTCTTCACTTGTTCTTGGCGGCCAGAGGTTTGCGGCTGATCTTCTTACTCTTGTCGTTGCTCTTCTTCGGTGGTTCTGGGTTGGCCTGCATGTGTCTGCCGTAGAGACTGGGGGAGGAGAGGGGGGAGAGGGGGAGGGAGGGAGAGGGGGAGAGAGGGAGAGGAGAGTTTTCAGTCACCGATGTAAAAGTAAAACTTTGAATTCATTGGACGTCTGTTCAATCTAAACCAGGGGTCCCAACCCGTGGGCCGTGGACCGGTAACGGGCCGCAGCACAGAAAGGACAAACATACGTGTTTTTTTGTGGAGAGTGTTTTGTTTTGAAAAAAGACGGATTCTCTCCAGACGTCGTCGCTCGTCCCTCTGCACAGGTTTACCAAGCGTTTCTTTCACCTTATACAATTGGCCACTACGGAAGCTCCGCCCCCAGCGGACACAGAGCCCCTCCCTCTGCGTGTTGTCAGCCAAGCTTCTCCTCGCTTTGCTCAAATAGCCGGGATTCCAACGTAGGATACAGAGCAACAACAAAGCATTTCTAAAGAATGTCACTTTCAAGTCAACCAGATTGCTCCGTTAGAAAAGAATAATAATAATAAAATGTACAACCATCTTGTTAGAACAATGAAAAACATACATATTTGGCAGTAGTAGTTTATTGTGGCTGTAGTTGCACTGGAAATCTTTTAATAATAACAACAATAATGTGTATGAGCGCTCTCAGCCTGATGCTACTCCACCCTCAGGGTGGTTCTGTGGATGTGATGAAGGTGGTGAGGTGGTGACACATGCGTGTGTCAACCACCACATCACACGCTTCTCTGCAGACCAGCTCCACACACGGAAGATTTTTAAGTTGGACCGAACTTACTAATTGGGTTCAGTTAGTGGCCGTGTGGGTACCTGGTACCTGCGCCAGATTGGCTGAGTAGCAGTAAGGGGGCGGGGCTTAGCAACATGTGATTTGCACCCCCATTGCACCTCCGCCCTGCTGCACCTCCGCCCTGCTGCACCTGCACCGCACCGCACAGATGTTAGATGGAGGAAAACTCATTTACGTGCCTTCCAGAAGTACAGAGACGCGCACACACACGCACACACGCGCACACACACGCACGCAGGTCAGGACGGAGGCCAGTTGATCTCTTGGATCTCGCAGTGGCATCTGGTACCTCTGCTGCTCCCCCCGGCGGCTTATTTCCCAGAATGCTCTTCCCAGACGATGTCCGTCTTCCTGCAGACCGCCACTGTGCTCATTTGAAGGTCCCTGGTCTCCCGGGTCAATGTCTCCTGAAGCAGGAGGACGTAATGAATTGTTCCTCTGTTTTAGACGCTGTGCTTTGACGCTCTTGCATCCTGGTTGACCGTCAGCTCAGGGAACACATCCTTTTCCTTTACATCACTAGTCCCTCATTTCATCACAGAAAGGTCTCAGGGAACACGTCCTTTTCCTTTACATCACTAGTCCCTCATTTCATCACAGAAAGGTCTCAGGGAAATTAGCACTTTAAAAGTAAACCAATGAAGACAGAAATTTAATTATATTTGTTACATCTAAAAATGTCCAGAGCACAGAAGCCGGCGGTCTCATGTCCTTCGGACAGCGGTCTCATGCCCAGAGGACAGAAGCCGGCGGTCTCATGCCCAGAGGACAGAGCTGGCGGTCTCATGCCCAGAGGACAGAGCTGGCGGTCTCATGCCCAGAGGACAGAGCTGGCGGTCTCATGCCCAGAGGACAGAGCTGGCGGTCTCATGCCCAGAGGACAGAAGCCGGCGGTCTCATGCCCAGAGGACAGAGCTGGCGGTCTCATGCCCAGAGGACAGAGCTGGCGGTCTCATGTCCAGAGGACAGAAGCCGGCGGTCTCATGCCCAGAGGACAGAAGCTGGCGGTCTCGTGTCCAGAGGACAGCGTCTCATGCCCAGAGGACAGAAGCCGGCGGTCTCATGCCCAGAGGACAGAAGCCGGCGGTCTCATGCCCAGAGGACAGAGCTGGCGGTCTCATGCCCAGAGGACAGAAGCCGGCGGTCTCATGCCCAGAGGACAGAAGCCGGCGGTCTCATGCCCAGAGGACAGAAGCCGGCGGTCCTCATGCCCAGAGGACAGAGCTGGCGGTCATCATGCCCAGAGGACAGAAGCCGGCGGTCTCATGCCCAGAGGACAGAAGCCGGCGGTCTCATGCCCAGAGGACAGAAGCCGGCGGTCTCATGCCCAGAGGACAGAAGCCGGCGGTCTCATGCCCAGAGGACAGAGCTGGCGGTCTCATGCCCAGAGGACAGAGCTGGCGGTCTCATGTCCAGAGGACAGAAGCCGGCGGTCTCATGCCCAGAGGACAGAAGCCGGCGGTCTCATGCCCAGAGGACAGAAGCCGGCGGTCTCATGCCCAGAGGACAGAAGCCGGCGGTCTCATGCCCAGAGGACAGAAGCTGGCGGTCTCATGTCCAGAGGACAGAAGCTGGCGGTCTCATGTCCAGAGGACAGAGCTGGCGGTCTCGTGTCCAGAGGACAGAGCTGGCGGTCTCGTGTCCAGAGGACAGAGCTGGCGGTCTCATGTCCTTCGGACAGCGGTCTCATGCCCAGAGGACAGAAGCCGGCGGTCTCATGCCCAGAGGACAGAAGCCGGCGGTCTCATGCCCAGAGGACAGAAGCCGGCGGTCTCATGCCCAGAGGACAGAAGCTGGCGGTCTCATGTCCAGAGGACAGAGCTGGCGGTCTCGTGTCCAGAGGACAGCGGTCTCATGTCCAGAGGACAGAGCTGGCGGTCTCGTGTCCAGAGGACAGAGCTGGCGGTTGGAGCAGGACGGTGGTGGCCGTGATGATGGCGCACGCTCCGGTTTAAAAGCGAGGACATGCAGCAGTCGATGAGCTGTCAGGAGGAGCTCGTTGAGATAATTGTGGGTTCCCGGCGCTGATGGATGAGGAGCGCAGGAGGCCGAGGAGGGAGGAGGTGAAAGATCAGTCAGGGTGTCATAAAGCAGCAAAACAAATCAATGTGGACGGGGAAGAATAAAGCGGCCAGCCGATGACGGAGCGTTCACTCAAGAGTCAATGTTTATTCATCATTTGCAATCGTTTACGTGGCGGCCGGCGTGCCGAGTGTGCGCTGCCGTTAATCTGACAGATGAGCGGACAGCGAGGACGGAAGGCTGAGGACCATGTGACCCAGAGGAGAGACGCTGGGCGGCTTCTCGTCCACCGCTGGTTTCCTCGGCTGTTGTGAGTCGTCTTCATCCCACTAGCAGGATAAGGCAGGACATCGTAGTCCTTCTCTTCCCTCCCTCTGTGTGCTGCAGAGGCCAGAGCTCAACCAGCCACAACCAGCGCAGACAGGCAGGCCGAACCCTGACAGAACCCCCTTCATTATGCTTTCATACAGCCACGCAGAGCGCGAGCACCAGCCCAAGTTCAACCTAAAGATTTACCATGTGTGTGTGTGTCTGGTTAAGGCCAATTAAACGCAGGGCAGCGAATGGATTCAGTATCCCGATGTGTCTTTGTGGAGCTCTGCTATTCCACACGGCTTAATTAATCATGGAAAAGTTCTGTGTGCAGAGGAGGAAAGTTGCTATTTGTGTTACAGAGTACAATACGCGCACGTGTGCGTGCATGTGTGATAAATGTGAAAGGGAGGCCAGAGGCCATTGATCTGATGGGCGGCCTTCCTCGTCCTCACCGGAGACGCACAGCAATTCAGCTTCAGGGAGGAGAGATCCCAGTATGCAAGTCCACATAAATAACCACTTCACCAGGGAATAGACGGGGCCGCCGGGGAGAGGGGACCGTTGACCACACTGCAGTGGTCAACAGAAGCACGTTGATCCGTGGGCTGCCAGCGAGCGGTGCCGTCGACACCCTTCAGACGCGTAAACCCAAAGGATTATGTCACAGTTTGATGCGTTCCTTGTTTTTGTGCCACCGGCTTTAGATCCGTTCCTCCCCACCATGTGTTCTCTGTGAAACGCTGGTCTTGATAAAAAGGGCCATTGGAATCATTGAGGAGGAAGCTGTGAGCTGCTGACCACACTGAATAAGTTAACGCATTCATTAAACAAGGCCGGCCGTGGAGCGTGTGTTGACAGTTTCTTTTAAAGTTGGAAATGAACATGCAGACGAACCGTGGGGGGGCTGCGTTGGCTTGGGAGGGGCTCCATCATGCTTCTCAACATGCCGCTCTTCAAACTCACATGAACTGAAGGAGAACAGAACTGGCGAAAGGTAGCGAATTCATTTTGAATCCTTTTCCCCCTGTGATTCTACAAAGGGAATCTAGTTCACAGTCGCTGCACGATAAATCCCTCAGTGCTGGACCCCCCCTCTAACACGCCACCTGCTGCTGATCATGGATTATTGAGCAAGAAACCGGCAGCTAGTGTGGCAGCTAGTGTGGCAGCTACCGGCAGCTAGGGGCAGCTAGGGGCAGCTAGTGTGGCAGCTAGTGTGGCAGGTACCGGCAGCTAGTGTGGCAGCTAGTGTGGCAGCTACCGGCAGCTAGTGTGGCAGCTAGTGGGGCAGCTACCGGCAGCTAGTGTGGCAGCTAGTGGGGCAGCTAGTGGGGCAGCTAGTGTGGCAGCTACCGGCAGCTAGTGTGGCAGCTACCGGCAGCTAGTGTGGCAGCTAGTGTGGCAGCTACCGGCTTAGCAACAATGGCTGCTGCAGGTTAGCATAAAAGCTGCAACATCTCTGCTATCACAACAGGGAATACTCCTAAGAAGGAAACGCAAAGAACGACAACGGCTTACGACACTTTTGCTCTTCTCCCAACTGGCTTTGTCAAGACGTTGATTGACAGAATCAATCCGGTCAGTTCATCCAATCACCTGCCGGGTGAACCGCCGGTGCTTTTGGAAAAGTGCCCGGCCTTTTTCAAGCCGTTTTAAGTGACAGCTTGTCACACGGTTCTGTGTAGCAAACCAAGTGGGAGGTCAGGTGACCAACAGCCCTATTTGCTGTTGTGTCTACAATCCAAGGGGTTTAATAAGTGAGAGAAGGTGGGAGAAGAGGACCCCGGGGCTGTGAATCTAATTAGACAGGAATGAGGGGGGGGGTTGAGAATGACATCCAGTGAGACGGACACAAATGTCTCCATGTCGCTGACAGGATGCTGTAGTGCGGAAGGAGACTAGTCCTTGTTGGGGAACAGCGGCTAGCAACACTCGTTAAACACACCAACCATGTGACGCTGCTCGGCCAATCAGAGGGAGCGAGAACGAGCAGTCGGAGAATACGACGGCCCTCATAGAGAGGAGGGATAGAGCGGGATCAACTGCCTGCTCCTTAACGACAGCAGACCGCCGCCTAGGACGCCGTCCCCCACCACTCGTGTTCAGTCTGCACAACGTGGCCGTCCAATCGGTGGCCCTGATCTCCTGATCTCACCTCCAAGCTGACCCACATGCCCACACAGGAGGTCCAAGGCATGGTTCCGCTTTTGTCGGAGGAAATGCGTAAATATGACGCTTCTACGAGCCGTCACTGGCGGGTTGGATTCACGGAGGGAGATCGCCGCTAACGCCGGCTTGCAAAGGAACAAAGTCGTGGAGGAAAATACGGGACAAATGTGTCCTTGATGGAGAGCAGCAGTGTGGATGCACGGGGCAATAAAGTCTATGATCAATAAATAAAGCCACCAGCGACTTCCACACACAAAGACGTGACTCTCCAGGTCGTCTTCAACAAAACACGTGACTCCACCTGTTGTTCTGGAGGTGAATCGCTCTGCAACACACGCAGGACTTTACAACCAGGAAGTGAAACCAGCGCGTCGACGCAGAAAGACGCGGCGGCCTTTAAGCTTCGTCAACAGCGTTACAAACAAACCCGTAGGACAGAGTCTAAGCTGCCATAACCCCAAAGGACCCGAGTGCCAGACTGAGGCCTTCGTGGTGTCCTTCAGATGGTCTCTGGAGGTCCTGCTCCTCTGAGGCCATGTTCCTGTCTGCCGACGCTCGCAGGAGAGAACGCAGAAAAACACCATTTCTCTACCGAGGAGAACTGTTGTTATTTCGTCCACATTCCAGATCCATCGCTTCCAGCTCGACAGAGATGCAGGTGCAAACAGATGTGCGTGTGTGTGTGTGTGTGTGTGTGTGTTCACAGAGCTAGAAGATCAAGGACATGTAGACAGGTGTAAATGAAGCCAAGGAGGATCTATTTGGGACTCAACACCTAAAGGAGAGCTGCTGCCAGCTGTCTGCGCGTCTTTCCCCCCTCAGGCGTCCTCACGGGGGGGGACATTACAGCTGGAGACATCAGTTAATGACTGGAGCAGTTATTGCTGAGCTAGTCTGTATGTACCAATGACATATATATATATATATATATATATATATATATATATATGTGTGTGTGTGTATATAATTACACGTGTCTAATCACATGTAATTCTATACACATGTAAATAGTCTGTGTGTGACCAGCTGTTGTGTGATGTGTGGTTGTTGTCGTCTGAACACACACAGGACAAGTAGCTCTGACCGCTGGACGCCGCCCGCGTTCTGCTCGTTCCGGCGTGACTCCGGTCCGATGGAAGAGGGGGACGCAGGGCTCCATGTGCACCATCACGCGGGTGGTGTTAGTTCTGTTCTACTGGGATTGTTGGGGAGGGTCCACAGATACAACCAGCTGAGCGGAGCGCCGGCTCGTCCCGCAGGCAAAGGGTTGGCGGTTCCATCCCCTCCGCGCTAGTCTGCTCTTGGGGCAAGACACTTCACCCCACGTAGCTCCTGAATGTCCCGATGGACAGGTGTCTCTGTGGGGTAGCTCCTCCCACCCGGGTGGGGATGGGTGATGACAGGTGGTGCTAAAGACAAGCACGTACAGTCCCTTCAGCTTTTACTATTGACCAGACGTCTACTAGCTGTCCTTCATCCGGCTAGAGGACTGTGGAGAGCAGGGTGAGGACAGGGTGAGGACAGGGTGAGGACTGTGGAGAGCAGGGTGAGGACAGGGTGAGGACAGGGTGAGGACGGATTTATATTGTGCTGTTCGTCAATAAATGACATAAATGAACGAAAAACGTCAAGCGACTGAAATAAAGAGAAGAGTAGATGGTCGGTGAGGACGGTGAGCTCAACATGCTTCCTCCATGTGGCCCCAGAGGGGCCCGGCTCACCGGATCAGACCAGCCAGACGTATGCGCGGTGCCTCCAGTCAGCCTGAGGTTCTGCCTGTACGAGTCACACAGGAGAATCAGACCAAGGAGCAGCTCTGCTCCAACAGGTGAGCAAGGACAGCAGCCGCCGCAGGGTGGAGGTGCACCACAGCTGCAATCGGCCCGCGGGGGGGCGGCCTCCTCTGGGGGGACACGAGGGACCAGAGACAAAGAGGCCTGCAGACGGCTGCTGGACGCATGAGCTGCTGTACGACACACACACACACACACACACACACACACACACACACACACACACACACACACACACACACACACACACACACACACACAGCAGCGTGACGCATTCACAACAGAGAATTAGTAGCAGCCTCTCAATCTTCTCAGGGGAACCTCCTGCACGTTCTTCAGGGTTCAGCGCCGCTCAGTGAAAAGGCCGCTGGCTGAAGCCTTCAGCTCGTGTGTCTCACAGCGAGGGGGGGGGGGGCGCTAGATCTCAGCAGTCGTGTCCCTCACAAAACAATTTAGAGCATCAATTAGGCATCGAGAAGACACCTAAGAGAAAGATTTTTTAAACGAAAGTTTTTTGAATATTTACAGTGGGAAGGAATAATAGTTAAAACTCAGAGGGGGGGGGCCCTTCACGGTGACGGTCGCATGGAACACGCGTGTGATGGAACGCGGCGGACGGTTGGAGTCGGCGCTACATACTACTTGTATGTCTCCGAGCGGACGTATTCACAGACGTGGGAGACGCCCAGCTGGAAATGTTCTGCGATGGGAGTGACCCAGGGGTTGTTATCGACCTTGAACACGTGCTCGCGCCCCCTCAGGTCCAGGTTACCTGCACACACACACACACACACACACACACACACACACACACACGTCATGGTACTTTTAGAAGATCCAACCAGGAGAACATCCTCCACTCGGGGTGGTCTTGAACGAGGGACGTGAACTCCTTCCTACTATTCTATTCATTACTGCAGCCGGGCCCTGTGTGTGTGTGTGTGTGTGTGTGTGTGTGTTGGGGGGGGGGGCAGTACCTAGCTCGGGGGGCAGGACGGTCAGCCGGTTGCCCTGGATGTGAAGCTCTTTGAGTTGAGCCAAGTCCCCGATGTCTTTAGGCAGCGAGATGAGGTCGTTGTCCCTCAGACTCAGCTGGACATGAGGAGGGAAGAAGACAACAGCACATGTGTGGGGGGAGGACACGTCCGTGTCCCCTATGGGCCTGGACCTCCTGGTAGGGTCACGGGGGGCGGTGGACTTACTATCTGAAGCTTGGCCAGCTTCCCGATGTCGGCGGGCAGAGCCTCGAAGTCGTTGTCGCTCAGATAGAGAGCGCGAAGAGTCGCTGCAAACAAGCAGAGCGTTACAGCGCCGCGGGGGGGGGGGGGGGGGGGGGGCGGCGGGGGGGGGGGGGGGGGGGGCGGGGGGGGGGATCAGAATCATTACTCACTGAGGTAGAAGAAGTTCCCAGGGAGGGAGTTCTGGTTCAGGTTGTTGTAGGTCAGGTCCAGAACTTCCAGAGCGGGTAAAGAACCAAATCCTCTGGGCAAGCCGCTGAGACGGTTCATCCTGTCCACACACACACACACACACACACACACACACACGCACACACACCAGAATATTTACACAAGATGTACAACCATCTTCTTTGAGGTGCTTGGGCAGCAGCTCGTGACTAACGCTGCGCCGCTACCAGGAGGTCAGGGAGCACGCGACGCTGTACCCAATAGACGCTGTGCCCACTAGACGCTGTACCCAATAGACGCTGTGCCCAATAGACGCTGTGCCCAATAGACGCTGTGCCCAATAGACGCTGTGCCCAATAGACGCTGTGCCCAATAGACGCTGTGCCCAATAGACGCTGTGCCCAATAGACGCTGTGCCCAATAGACGCTGTGCCCAATAGACGCTGTGCCCAATAGACGCTGTGCCCAATAGACGCTGTGCCCAATAGACGCTGTGCCCAATAGACGCTGTGCCCAATAGACGCTGTGCCCAATAGACGCTGTGCCCAATAGACGCTGTGCCCAATAGACGCTGTGCCCAATAGACGCTGTACCCAATAGACGCTGTGCCCAATGGCACGCGACGCTGTGCCCAATAGCACGCGAGGCTGGAGGATCTTCTCCGAACCTTTTATGGTCATTCGTATCCTGCTAACATGTGTTAGGGTGCTTCAGTTATTACTACCATAGGTTCACACTAGTGCCCTGCTGGTGTCCTCCTGTTGGTGGACATCATGAGTGTGTACCAGAGACACCATGCGTGTGTCCACACATGGAAGACAGACTATTCTACTCCAACTCTGTGTTGGACAAATGACATTAAGCCCCCACAAGGTTGCACACACACACACACACACACACACACACACACACACACACACACACACACACACACACACACACACACACACACACAGGAAGAATAAACAGGATGGAAAGTGAATGCGCGGGCTGAATAGCAGTGTGAGGCTTACACCCTCAGACCATGTTTGTCTGTCAACACACAGCCGGCTGCCCTCCTAATCCTCACGTCTCCACACACACACACACACACACACACACACACACACACACACACAACAGCTGGGCAACGGAACCTCCACCAGCTGCTCGTCACACACACACACTTTTCAAGATGCTTTGAAGACTAAAGATGACACAACAATGCCGGAGGAAGGAGGTGGGATACGTATGTGAACACAGTGGGATTAACGCTGTGGACCTCAGGGACAAAGAACCGCCCAGAGGAACCGGTTCAGGTTCCCCAATGCGTGTGTGTGCGTGTGCGTGTGTGTGTGTGAGGGAACCAACCCGAGGTTGAGGTGTTTCAGCTTCTGCAGACTGCTGATCTGAGTGGGCAGCTCTTCAATCTGGTTGTTGAACATGTTCAGAACCTCCAGGTTCTTCAGCTCAGACACGTTAGGAGGCACCGCTGTAGGACACACAGAGGAGAACATCACCCACTGGCAGCAAAGGAGGAGCGCTACATCAGCTACACCCGAGGACACCCGACCGGACCGATGTCCTTCTACTCAGAGCAGCGGGTGGGACTCTGTGTGCATATGTATATATATAATGTATATAAATAAATATATATATATATATATATATATATATATATATATATATATATATCTCATTGAGCAGCCTGTCCCCCACAGGTCAATCCACGCAGCAGCACCACCTCCTGTCCAGTGTGTAGTGCACCACCTGAGGGGAGTTCCACGCGGAGGCCTGCGGGTGAGTGGCCTGCTCAGGGCGGACATTGGGACTACGTCCTACATGTGGTTGTACAGCCTGCTGACTGACGGACTGAAGGGTCACCGGGATGCTGCAGGAGACTCCAACGATGTGGTCTGTGTCTAATCATCTCCAGCAGCAGATCAGGAGACGCGTCACGGAGTTTTAGCTCCCGGTGGGGATCAGGAAGTGTGCAGCAGGAATGACACTACATCCCTGGTAGCACGTTTAGTATTAGTATCACAGAAGAGCTTCCAGTCGTCTGTGTGTGTTGTGACCTCTGCTGGTCACCATGAACCACCAACATGTGCATAAACTGGGACTGTACGACACACATACAACTTTACCCGTAGAATTATTTCAATATAAATATTTTTAATTTACTAATCCCTTTAAAAGCCTTCTGGGAAAATGACAAAGTGAAAGCTTCCTATGTTCTGACGGTATATATATATATATATATATATATATATACACCTTGCGAAGCTTGCTAAAGCACTCATGAGGCACAGAATTCTAGGAACTCGTTGAGACGGGAATGACCCCGAGGTCCAACGGGCCGGCCGGGTCTCATGAGGCATGAAGATCTCTTGGAACGACTGGCGGGGCTCACCTGTGAGCTTGTTGTGGCTGAGGACCAGCTGGGTGATGTTGGACAGGGTGACTGGAAGGACAGAGGACAGCAAGTCAACAGCAGGTCTTGATCTGATGTCCGAGCAGCGAGCTGCTGCCTTTCAGGTGACTCAAGTATCCAAATCAAACTGTCACTCATGCTGGAAGCTGTGGATTCACAGACTGACTCCGCGAGGAGGAGACTGCTGCAGGCTGACGGGGCGGGGCTCCTGCCTTCATACGTCATCGTCACGAAGGCCCCCCCATCAGGCTTATAGTCAGACACACTGGTGCCTACCTGAAGTCTAACCGAGCCTAACGGGCACGTACCCGAGCCCTACCGGGACCTACTAGAACCTAACCGGGACCTAACCGAGCCAAGCGGGACCTAGCCGAGCCTACCGGGACCTAACAGCACCTACCGGAAGCTAACCGAGCCTAACGAGACCTAACCGAGCCTACCGGGAGCTATCCGAGCCAAACGAGACCTTACAGGACGTAACGGAGACTGGTCCCGCCGGGTCCCGCAGCGGCCTAACGTCACTCACACAGCCCGGGGACGTCCAGCATGTTGGAGATGCCTCTGTCACACATCTCCACCTCGGGCAGGTTCTTGTCTCGACTCTCCTCCACGATCTTCTTCAGAGACTTGGACATCTTCCTGAAACAGCGTGAGGTCAGAGGTCACCCGAGGAGCCGCCATTGGTCGGCTACATGCGACGGGAAGGAGGCTTACCGTGTCAACGACCACTAGCAGACCACACGTTACGCTCGTTGGTTCCGACAGAGACTCTCCCGCAGCAGCCGCCCTCACCGGAAGTCTGTGTGGCCGCCTGCGGGCCATAATAGGCTACTTCCGGTTGCCTCGGCTCAGCCGCGCCTCTGTGTCAAAATAAGAGCTTCCAAAAGTCCACCGCTTCAAACCGCCCGAGGTTTCACTTATTTCCCGGCGATTTATCCCCGTAGTCCTTTATTATTTCGTCACATCTTACTCCAGCACATGCGGCGTGCATATTGCTCGTTTGATACTTGTTTTGTACTGGAAAAAAAAGTAATAAAGATTTGTACAAAATAGAAAAGGACGACTACGAAAAGTACTTCCGGCTTGAATGTTTACCTTCACGTAAGGGATGACGGTTTAAACCTGTAACGCTTTCTAATCATATGTGGACAGCCAGGGTGTTCATCACTTCACCACCATCCTACCGCCTCCCTCCACCTCCACCTCCACCTATCCGCAGCATCTCCTTCAGCGCTCTTATTTTGTGGACTTGTTCAAGACAGTAACGCCCCCTTGTGTCACAACTAAGAGGTACAATGCGGTCAGCTGCACGGGTCATGTTTGCATCGTATGACCCATAATCCCAACCCGTCTATGTGTCTTTGGACGATCTGGGTGGTTCTCCTTTTTTACAGAGAAGCAATGTGAATCGTATTATGGGATGTGTACAACAGGACAGCGCAGGAATAAAACCTGCTGAGCATCAACGATGAAGTGAGAAGAAGAGCCAGGGACGACCGGGGCTCCGTTTCAAGTAGGAGGTCTAACAAACCCTGAGGTTCTGGTTTCAGAGCATCTGTTTAGAGTTGGTTCCATCATGTCGGAGTAGGTTGAGCTGAGCGCGTGCACCACCACGGTATGAAGGCAGCGTTAATGGAGCCATGATACCACGAGTTACCATGACAACCACCACAAACAGTATATTCACCCCTGTTGAGCTGCACATGTTAATGCAAACGTACGAACCCGTAAGTAGGAAAAGCAACACGCTGCTGCAGCAAAAGACAGAGAAACTGTTCCAATATAGTGTTGTTAATATTTAATGTACACTAATCATAATCCATACGTTTTACTAATTCCCAGTTTTTACACAGGCTTAATATACACACATATTTAATCACAAGAACAATATCGCTGGTATAAACTGGCTCGTGTTGGACCTGTAATGGGTTTTATTCAGCGGCGTCCTGTGGGACTCCTCTTTAACGTCTCACTGGTTTGTGTCCAACACAAAGGTTTAAAAGACGTTTCTCACGGCTCTGCATGCAGCAGCTTTACTAATATTCTAAGGCTGTAAAGGAAAACACGTCATACTACACAAAGAATGTGCTCGTATGTGAGAGAACGTCCACGATGGGAGACGTTACCTATAAGAGGACGGGTGAGGACATGGACATATTTGATGGACTGTGAAGAAAAACGATAGCGTTCAAACAAGCAGTCATCTGGAAATGACAATATATCTAATCGGGCCTCAATATTCTCTCCCGACGTGTTTAATGAAGTAAAAGTGAAATGAGAACCGTCGGCAAACGCAAGAAACACGCAAACGTGTGTGAAAGTGTGTAAAACTAGACTGTTGTAAAAGAAATGCCAATACTGCCTCATAAATAACACAAACACCCGATTGATCTGCAGCGTAAAACAAACAAGTACAAATTAACACATTTTCAAAAAGAAAAGTGAAATATGTTCTGCAATAATATTGGCATGTTATTAAATTCATCCTCTAAACACAGCTGTTGCTTGTCAGATGCAATCAGATGGATGGTAATAAAACGCCATGATGCCGTCACAATGCGTGATGACGCTGATGGCTGATCTTCGCTCTTAGGAGACGTGGCACATGGAAGGATTGGCGCTGTAGTGCAGCGCACCATCGGCCTGTTTAAGGGCAGATGGCGCTGCCTCGACTGCACTGGAGGGAGGTTGTTGTTTACTCCTGAAAAGGTGTGAAACATCGTGCTGCGTGTGCTGTGCTACATGATGTGACACAGCTTCCAAACGTGCCTCGACCCCCTGACGCCGATGTTGGCCCAGACCCTGTCCCCGATCCCCAATCACTGCCGCCAGTCTCTCATCAGGAGGGGACAGCTCCGGTGTCCCTTTCCCCCCCGTGGAGACACACCTTGGCAATGACTAAACACTTCTTTGCATCCACTTTGATGTCAGACCAGTTTTTCTTTATTTGGGTCCGAGGTCGTGAGGCTGCAGCGTTGCTCTGCAACCTTTTGCCCCTCAGGTGCCTTGTTGGCATCAGTGATCCACACTGTGTCCTCCAAAGAGCATCTTACTTCTCCTTCCCACCTCCCAATGATCATTTCCACTTCACACTGAGTGAAGTTACGTTTCTTTGTTTTCCTCTCAGTGTTTGTCATGATTTCACAATCGATGAATATTAATTTGTGGGAGTTCCACAGACTATATATGGGCAACTATGGGCGTGACATGAAGCCGCAAAAGCTGCGCTGCATTTAGAAGTGATTGTGATTTATTAAGGGAAAACTGCGTAGGACGTTTTATAAGTCTGAATATTTCTGTGCGTACGCACGTCCTACGTTTCATCCGTACGACACTTCTGGAGCAAATCCTACGCAAGCTTTTATAAATGAGGCCCCTGGTGATGTTCAGGCAGCTCACACATCACATAGTGTTGGTAGTGGTCCATGTACTTTAAATAATAATAACTGACCGTTATTATTACTAAACGGTTTGGTTTGTTATAAACGTCAGAGGTGTAGTTATGACACTGCATACATACTATGTATACTATTCATTTAGAAATCGATTACAATTGAGCAAGTTATGGATATTTAAAAAGTACGCGTACCACAACCAACACAGTGTGATGGGTGAGCGAGCTGACTGCACCAAGATGGCCGCCATGTGCTGACGCAGCGCAGCCAGCCTTTACATGCATGTCTGCGCCGCGCCAGCAGGGGGCGGTGCGTGTCCCTGCGCCGCGGGGCAGAAGGAGAGCGGTCCTCGTGGAGCTATGGAGCGGCTGCGGGTGTTGGAGCTCTACAGCGGGATAGGAGGCATGCACTACGCGCTGCAAGGTGAGCCTCGTGCCTTCGTCCGCCGCCCCGGAGGCCGCCGGGAAACGCTCCGGCTCGGGCCGCCGGGACGGAGACGCTGAGCGACACCTCCCGCTCGTTGGAGCCACCGCGTCGTTGTGGCGTGGGTGACGCGGTGCGTGGTGGGCGTGGCCTCGCGGGACCGCAGACCGCTCTTTGCGAAGATGCCGTAAAATCCATGTTTATTTCCTGGTTGACCGACGCGTAGCCCGTCAGGCCACGCCCACCGCGCGTCTGCCTCACCGCAGTAGATCTCCCGCTCAATACCGACTAAAGGGTCAGTGACTGCCGCGTCGTCTTTACTGGAGACGCCATCTCCAGAGGACGTTATGCCTGTCCTCTTGTCCTCTTGTCCTCTTTTCTCTGCTCTACTGATTCTGATTCTGCACCTTTGCACAGGCAGGAAGTCCTTCCAAGGCGTGTGGGTTAACACACCTGATGGCCAGGTGACCCCTAGCATGTGTCTCCTCCCCCCAGGGGGTGAATGATAGCATGTAGTGTAGAGAGCTTTCAGTAGATGGTCCATTTAGCATTGGACAGTAGGGTCCCCATCATGAGGGGACACTACTGATGACCCCTTATGATGGGGTATCTTCCTCTAGAGAGCGGCTAATGTGTTTAGCGGCTAACATGTTTATCTTCCTCCAGAGAGCGGCTAACATGTTTATCTTCCTCTAGAGAGCGGCTAACATGTTTAGTGGCTAACATGTTTATCTTCCTCTAGAGAGCGGCTAACATGTTTATCTTCCTCTAGAGAGCGGCTAACATGTTTAGCGGCTAACGTGTTTATCTTCCTCTAGAGAGCGGCTAACGTGTTTATCTTCCTCTAGAGTGCGGCTAACGTGTTTATCTTCCTCTAGAGAGCGGCTAACGTGTTTATCTTCCTCCAGAGAGCGGCTAACATGTTTATCTTCCTCCAGAGAGCGGCTAACATGTTTATCTTCCTCCAGAGAGCGGCTAACATGTTTAGCGGCTAACGTGTTTATCTTCCTCTAGAGAGCGGCTAACATGTTTATCTTCCTCCAGAGAGCGGCTAACATGTTTAGCGGCTAACGTGTTTATCTTCCTCTAGAGAGCGGCTAACATGTTTATCTTCCTCCAGAGAGCGGCTGACGTGTTTATCTTCCTCCAGAGAGCGGCTAACATGTTTATCTTCCTCTAGAGAGAGGCTAACATGTTTAGCGGCTAACATGTTTATCTTCCTCTAGAGAGCGCCTGACGTGTTTCTCTTCCTCTAGAGAGCGGCTAACATGTTTATCTTCCTCTAGAGAGCGGCTAACATGTTTAGCGGCTAACATGTTTATCTTCCTCCAGAGAGCGGCTGACGTGTTTATCTTCCTCCATAGAGCGGCTGACGTGTTTATCTTCCTCCAGAGAGCGGCTAACATGTTTATCTTCCTCTAGAGAGCGGCTAACATGTTTAGCGGCTAACATGTTTATCTTCCTCTAGAGAGCGGCTAACATGTTTAGCGGCTAACATGTTTATCTTCCTCTAGAGAGCGGCTAACATGTTTAGCGGGCTAACATGTTTATCTTCCTCTAGAGAGCGGCTAACATGTTTAGCGGCTAACATGTTTATCTTCCTCTAGAGAGCGGCTAACATGTTTATCTTCCTCTAGAGAGCGGCTAACGTGTTTATCTTCCTCTAGAGAGCGGCTAACGTGTTTATCTTCCTCTAGAGAGCGGCTAACGTGTTTATCTTCCTCTAGAGAGCGGCTAACGTGTTTATCTTCCTCCAGAGAGCGGCTAACGTGTTTATCTTCCTCCAGAGAGCGGCTAACGTGTTCATCTTCCTCCAGAGAGCGGCTAACGTGTTCATCTTCCTCCAGAGAGCGGCTAACGTGTTCATCTTCCTCCAGAGAGCGGCTAACGTGTTCATCTTCCTCCAGAGAGCGGCTAACGTGTTCATCTTCCTCCAGAGAGCGGCTAACGTGTTCATCTTCCTCCAGAGAGCGGCTAACATGTTCATCTTCCTCCAGAGAGCGGCTAACATGTTCATCTTCCTCCAGAGAGCGGCTAACATGTTCATCTTCCTCCAGAGAGCGGCTAACATGTTCATCTTCCTCTAGAGAGCGGCTAACATGTTCATCTTCCTCTAGAGAGCGGCTAACATGTTCATCTTCCTCTAGAGAGCGGCTAACATGTTTAGCGGCTAACATGTTTATCTTCCTCCAGAGAGCGGCTAACATGTTTATCTTCCTCTAGAGAGCGGCTAACATGTTTAGCGGCTAACATGTTTATCTTCCTC